TAATGGAAACAGAAATTAAGATGAAATTACGATAAACACAGTTTGTCAAAAATAATAAACATTTCTGACTCATTCTTCAATTTTGACTTATTTTTAACAGTATCGTGTAAATATTGTATTTATTTAAAAATGTAAACATAATGCATGTGCAATTTTCATAAGTAGTTTTGGTTTCAAGAGTTTGAGAGAAAAATGCCCTTAAAAGAGTAAAAATAAAAGTTTTAGTTCAGTTTTAAATTGGATTGAAACATAAAGCAGTTCATCTTTATTATCCCTTGATTACAGACTTGATTTGGATTTAATTACTCGTTAAAATATCTGAACTGAAATGTTAACAAACCAAGTTTCTGTTCTGCTTTTTCACCAAACTCAAAGATTTCCTGGCTGTTATTTAACTTGGTGTTTAGTTTTCTGTGTCAAACAGAAAAACTAAACCCTTCAGAATAAAATACCTGCAGTTTGTAGAGTTTTATTTGTTCTGCTTGTCTTTCAGTCCAGTCCTTTCTGGTCCAACTCCGTCATTTCCAGCTTCAGCAGTAAATCTACATCCAAAGGTAAAACATAACACGATAACAGAATATCACCACAACATCATCTGCATAACGATTGATCTCATGTTAAGGAATTGGACAAGAAAATCAGTTTTCCTTAAATAGAATCAACATATTGGCTCTGGAGACATTGTTTAACCCTAACCCTAAAAAGGGGTTAGGGTTAGGGTTAGGAAATTGATTTGTTACAGGACTTGATTTGTTACAAAAGATAAATAAATGTCTTTTAAAGACATAAAACCTGGTTGTTTGTCACCTCAGTGCCGGACAGTTTGTTCCTCACTGTGGGATTTTTATTTTCAGGTTTCCTGTTGAACAATCAGAGAAACATAATAAAATCTTCAAGAAATGAATCTTTTCTGTTATGGTTTCAAGTTTTCAGGTAGATTTGGTCGTGCATTGAAATGAAGTGAACTGAACATAAATGGTTAAACTGGTGACACATTCAACATGTTTGCATCTCAGCTAAATGTTAGCATTTCATTACATGTACTTTATAGGTTTTAATTATGCAAATGGTTAAAAATGTAGAAACATCAGAATTATTGAAGTCTGACCTGATTTAAGAGTCAAACATTTTATCTCCAGGTGAATTTGAATTAAAATCGATGCTCTGGTCAGAAAGCGGCTTTTTGCTATGATACGCCTGAAATATCGATGACAATAAGAAATTATTGTAATCTATTCTGATTGGAGATGCTAAATAGCAGAAAAACTAAAAAACTCACCTAAAAATGTTTTAATTTTCCATTAAAACACTAAAAATGATTCAGTTTTTAATGTTTTTCTTCTGTTGGTCAATAAACCCGACTGTTTTTGTAACAGAGACGCTTCTTGTTGCCTGAATCATGAACTTTGTTGTTTGTAACTCATTTAACTCTTGTCTTTGTCCTGCAGATGTTTCTGTGCGTTACAGCTTCGGGCGGCCGGTTCTGTCCCTGCGGCTGCCGGCGGGTCGGTTCTGCCGCTTCGCGCTGACGCCGATGCTGACCTCGGTGGGCGACCTGCTGAGCGACCTGAGGGCTAAAGACGGCTCTGTGGGGGACGCCGCGCTCTTCAACAGCGGTAAGAAACACAAGCTGGAAGCTCTCTGCCTCCAGTTATTAAAAAATGTTCAAATATGAAGAAGTTGGTATTTTGGGAATCTTCCTCACGACGTTTAACTTTGATCAACTGAATGCAGATGCAGGAAAGATGATCTGATCTTATTTCCATCAGGAGACGCTAACAGGTTCCAGGCAGCAGAGACAATATCCATGTCTCCTACAACTGGGGTGTCCAAAGTGTGGCTCCGGGGCCATGCGCGGCCCTTGAAATGATTCTCTGCGGCCCTTAGCAACAACTCAGCCGTAGCTCATCTTTATATCAGCAGTTTGTTGATGGCGATACGATTAGCACAAACTAAAGTGAAATTATGCAAATTAGAATAGATTGAAACTAATAAAGTCACAACACAAACTGTTCATAATTTATCTGTTGTTGCTCAGAGTTGGTTTGAGCAAACTCTGCCTCCGTTTATCCTCCTCTTTCTGGTGTTTGGGGTCAAAGTTCAGGGGTTATTAGACGCTAAAAACAACAGCCTGTTGCTACGGTTATACATGCTAACATCGTCTAAATGTAAAGAAATCCTTCTAGCTGCACAGCACCCAGAAAATGTTCATCAGCCTGACCTGTGGGGGGCGCCACGACCTCCTGAGGTCATGAAACTGATCGTTTGTTTCGTTCCTCAGACGGACAGAGAATCTCCTCCTGCACGTTGATGGAAACGGTTCTGAACAGCAACTTCCAGATCCACATCGATGACGTCGTCTACAGCGTTCACTCGCTGAGACAAGGTAGCGCCTGTTCCTGTCTGCGGGGGCGCTGGCGGCACCGAGCTAACGTTTTGTGCTCTGTTTGTCCGTGAGGCTCGTCCAGCGAACACGTGTTGGGTCTGGACGACATGAAGCACACGGTGCAGCTCCTCCACGCCGCCCTGAAGCGGCCGCCCTGCAGCATGCGGCGCTGCTGGCCAGGAAGGAGACGCTGGCAGGGCAGCTGCAGCCGCTGGAGGACGTACGAGTCTCATCCTGAATTATTGACCTGACAGAAAGACGACAGTGAATATTAAAGATGCTGGACAAAGAGGCTAATTTAATGTGTAGCTGGTCGATGGAAGAGTTTAAAAAATGCAAAACATACCAGAGCTGTGATTTACAACAGATTTTAATGTGAAGATAAAATAGTTTAATTTACAGTAAACATTTCTAATAAAAATATGTTAAAAACTGTTAGAAAAAATGCAACTTAAAGCTGTCATTGACATGAGAGACTCACAGCATTTAAATATGATGTTGAATTCCTGATATGTTTAGAAATACAAACATTTTATTTCCTGCTGATGATGTCGTTGGTTTCAGGTCAAAGTTCAGCTGGCGAAGGAAGCAGAGCGGCGAGCGATGCTGGTGGGGTGGGTGGGGCTCGCCTACCTGTCGCTGCAGGGGGGATTCCTGGGATACCTCACCTGGTGAGCCGCCTCACCTGCATCACTCAATATACCAATGAATTAAGACGAGATCAATCCATTTATAGTTTGGATTGATCCTTTTTCATTTCTCTTTGTTTTTACAAAAACCTGGATGACAACAACCTTCAATTTTGAATTATAGCTGCTTATGCTTCAGTGCTTTAATTTACTCAGTAAGGAGATTAACATTTATGTATTATTTATTCATTATTATTATTCCATTATTACCATTACATTATTTGAAAATGGTCTCAGAACAACAACATTGTCATGTATTGCAGTAAATACTGAGTCAGTTTGTGGTGCAGCAGCATCAGTTCTTGTGTGCTGCAGCCTCCTGATGTCTCTGGTGTCTCTGTCAGGTACGTGTTCGCCTGGGACGTCATGGAGCCCGTCACCTTCTTCATCTCCTGCGCCACCAGCATGCTCTTCTTCGGCTACTACCTCCTGACCAAGCAGGTCGGTCCAAACAACCAGTTAGAGCCAGTTTCAGTGCTAGTTGCTAATGTTTCAGTGCTAGTTGCTAATGTTTCAGTGCTAGCTGCTAATGTTTCAGTGCTAGCTGCTAATGTTTCAGTACTAGCTGCTAATGTTTCAGTGCTAGCTGCTAATGTTTCAGTGCTAGCTGCTAATGTTTCAATGCTAGCTGCTAATATTTCAGTGCTAGCTGCTAATGTTTCAGTGCTAGCTGCTAATGTTTCAATGCTAGCTGCTAATGTTTCAGTGCTAGCTGCTAATGTTTCAATGCTAGCTGCTAATGTTTCAGTGCTAGTTGCTAATACTTCATTGCTAGTTGCTAATTTTTCAGTGCTAGCTAAAGTATTAAACTCTAAGCTGCATCAACCTGTCATGTCAGGATTTTTAAATGTATCTTCGTTCTCTGGATGTTGGATGGTTTGTATCATTTTTGCTTTGAGCTTCAGAGTAAATTTGTCTGCAGGATTTTGTCATGACTGACGTTTTGGATCGTCAGTTTTTGCTTCACTTCCACAAGAGGGCGCCGCGGAAGAGGTTTGATGTGGACAGATACAACGAGCTGAAGGACGAGCTAGCTAAGGTGACGCGCTAGCTGTTTAAATCTGATTGATCATCCCGTTTCTCTGTTGTCATGGCGACGGTAATCAGACCCGGGGCGGGTTTCCGTTAAGCCGATCCGTTTGATTCCAGGTGGAGGACGACCTGCGGAGGCTGAGGAGCTCCATCCACCTGCAGCTGCCAGTCGATCACATCCAGCCTCAGAGAAGTTCCTGATGCTTCTGCATGTTGGCACTTTTTAATGTTTCTTTTTTAATAAAAGACGTTTAGTTTTGCTCTTGATTTGGTAAATAAAGTAAAACCCTGGGAAAGCAGCGTCTCTCTGCTGATGTTCTGTCAGGATCAGTTTTCTAGTTTAAAGGGAACCTGAAGAAATTCTGGATGTTTATGTTGAACAGAAAAGATTTAATGAAAATCCGATAAATAAAGGAACCTGCTAGTGATAACATTAGCATTCTAGCTAAATTTAGCTGTTTCCATAGGAGTAGTTAGTCAACATAATACTGATAGCCTTCATGCTAACATTAGCATTTTAGCTAATGTTAAATAGATTAATATACTTAATGAAGTCTGTCATGCTAGTGATAGCCCACATGCTATCAAAAGGATTTTAAATACCCTTAGCATTTTAGCTAACTGACGTAGAAGTATAGAGTGAAGTAGGTCAGTAACAAACATGCTATTGACAGGATTTTAGGATTTCTAAATGGTTCATTTTCCAGACACCAAAAATCATGACCTGAGCCAGAAAGTTGCTCTGTTTTTATGATCAGCAGAGACTCGAATGGAAGAAGAAAAAACCTGAAATGTTTTGTGAATCTTGCCAGTAAAAAGTCACCTTTTGTGTCAGGACGTTATTTATTAGTTTATTGATCAGCAAACCAGAACAAAGTTTTAGCCGAAATCACTTTCAGGTGAGAAAAGGTGAAAAGTTTCTTTAATAGTTAAATTTGGTGACTGCAGACCAGCCGGTGTGAAGCCGGATCCACTCAAAGTAATGAGCGACCTGCCGAGGAGAGAACCAGTTAACTGGGTGTTTAATGGTTAAACTGGAAGTAGAACCAGTCTCACCTGTGTGTAAACCCCTGGGAAACCCCGATGGCCACACCGCTCCCCCCAGCTCACGATGCCCCAAAGGTAGGAAACCCCGAGTTCGTCCTCACAGACCAGCGGGCCGCCGCTGTCGCCCTGACACGAGTCCACATTTCCCTCCAGGTCTCCTGCACACAGATGGACCGGGTTGGGACCGGGTTCAGACTGGGTTGGGACCAGGGTTGGGACCGGGTTCAGACTGGGTTGGGACCACGGTTGGGACCGGCTTGGAACCAGGGTTGGGAACGGGTTGGAACCAGGGTTGGGACCACGGTTGGGACCGGGTTGGAACCAGGGTTGCGACCGGGTTGGGACCACGGTTGGGACCGGGGTTAGGACCACGGTTGGGACCGGGTTGGGACCAGGGTTGGGACCGGGTTCAGACTGAGTTGGGATCAGGGTTGGGACCAGGGTTGGGACCGGGTTCAGACTGGGTAGGGACCGGGTTGGGACCAGGGTTGGGACCACGGTTGGGACCACGGTTGGGACCGGGTTGGGACCGGGTTGGGACCGGGTTGGGACCGGGTTGGGACCAGGTTGACCGGGTTGGGACCGGGTTCAGACTGGGTTGGGACCAGGGTTGGGACCAGGGTTGGGACCGGGTTGGGACCAGGGTTGGGACCGGGTTGGGACCGGGTTCAGACTGGGTTGGGACCAGGGTTGGGACCAGGGTTGGGACCAGGGTTGGGACCGGGTTGGGACCGGGTTCAGACTGGGTTGGGACCAGGGTTGGGACCAGGGTTGGGACCAGGGTTCAGGTTCGGTTCGGTCACACTCACCTGCACACATCATCCCCGGTTTGAAGCGATGCCCGTAGGAGGATTCGCAGCCGGAGATGAGCGACACGTTGGCCCAGAGCAGCACCTGGGCCGACCGGCCGTCTGCACACAGACATCAGTATCAAAACCAGAACCAACGACTCATGGACGCCATTGCAGCCCGGATTACAGGGATTAATTCACGGTACCAGCTGAGGTCTAAAGGTTCACTGAACATCTAAAACCCAGATTATGTCTGAGATTATCTTGGATTAACATGTTAAAGTCACTTCTGTCAAACACTTCCAGCATAAAATTCAATTCTGTTCATAAACCTAAATATTCTCCAGTTATTATCTGTTCGAATATCTTCATAACTGAGTGGAAAGATTGATTTAAAAAACAAATTCATTTTTATCTGGTTCCCAATTTTGCCTCTTTTCATCTGATAAATAGTTATAGACGAAAACAAAATCTCTTAAAAAAAATCTGATAATTTTATTCCAGCGACTGTTTTTGTCTCTGGACGTTCAGCATCATTTTATTCTAATAATTTTGGAATAATTTGTGTCTTTCAGACATAAACATTCAGGTTAGAGAACATGAAAATGATCACATCGTTTGATTGGTTCGTCTTCATCTTCTGCTTCTGTTTTACGTTAACAAGCAACCTGATGGGGCAGTGCTGCCACCTGCTGGCGGAAAGTGAGACCCAGTCAATCCCTCTCACCCTGAAAACATTTCAGATTTATCATCCAAATGTCTTGGAGCCAGAAAACATCTGAGCAGGTTTAGAGCAGGTGTGATAATCAGAAGCGGTTCCGGTGTTTGCAGTGTTTGCGGTTCCGGTGTTTGCAGTGTTTGCGGTTCCGGTGTTTGCACTTCCGTACCTGCGGTGCGGCCCCACCCGGAGATGCTGCAGGTGTGGTTGGGCGGGAACAGCTGGGTGGTCCAGGGGACGCAGACGGGCCGGATGGCCGGGTTGTCCTCCAGGCATTTATCCGTGAACGGGAGCTTCTCCAGCTGCACCAGCGCGATGTCGTTCTCGTACGTCGACGGCACGTAGCTGAGGGAAGAGAGGGAATCTGAGCTTCCTGTGTGACTGATTTATGATCAATAATCAGTGATCAGGTGGGTTCGTACTTCGGGTGGATGCGATGTCCGCCACAGGACGATGTCCGTCGTTCCCTGAGGGCGAATTTCTTCCAGACAGAAAATTTGACTTTGAACGCAGAAGGATTCGGCCTGTGGAGGAAAGAAACGAGTTACTGTCACTTCACAAAATGTTTTGAGAAAAAAAAATACTTTTAGGAGTATTTTCACTACTTTTACTTGAGTAACTTTGTTAGGAAGTATTTCTACTCTTACTAGAGTAAAATGTCTGAATTTCCCACCAGATTCAAACTCACAGCTGCAGAGTCTGTTAAAGTTTCACAAATTTTTATTGAAAGAACATTTTTTGTTACTTATACAAATTATTGTCATTTTGGTCCTTAAAACACCAAAATTTCCACTCATCTTAACATTTTGGTCCCTCTGATGATGTAATATTTAAGTGATTGATAATTTGATCAGTTACTCACTAATTAAATAAACTTTTTTTTACTTAATATTTTTTACCATAAACATTTTTACTCTTACGTAAGTAAAGTTTTGAGTTCTCTGCCTCTTCCGCTGTTAGAAAACCAGGTTTAAAAAGCCTTTGTTTGTGAGCATAAAGTCGATCACTGCTTCACTTGAAGGAAAAAAACTGCAGTGAAATGAAAAACTGCTCCATGCAAGCGATTCTCCTGCATGTTTGGCTACAATAATCAGCTGTTCTGTTTTTCCTCAGTGTCTGAGCCAAATGAGTGTTAGCATTCGAATGCTAGCGACGTGTTCTGGTTCTTCTGGGTCGTACCGGACGCAGTGAGCGGCGGTGAGGACCCAGCAGCCGCCGATGTAAGCTCCTCCACAGTCGATCCTGCGGTTCTCCTCTATCGCCACCTGCCACTGGATCTGAGTCTGCAGCCCAGCAGGAAGGAGAATCATTGGCTTTCAATCATTACTGAATGACCTCGAAAGATCTCAGTCCACATGACAGAAATACAGATTTCAAAAAACATTTTGACAGCAGCAGTGAAACAAAATGAAGTGATAATTAATCAATGATTAAAGTATCAATATTGCTGCTCAATAACTGTTTATAGAAGGAAAATGATTCGTCTGCAGCTAAAACAGGTTTTTAGACTGTAACTGTTCAAACCTGCACTGATTGTAACTAACGGGTTGCCAGGTCTGCTGATTATAAGCAACTCTGGGCTTGTTGTTTTATATAGTTGCAGGTTGACATTTTTTGTTGCTTATTTGTGCATCAAAAAATGGAAATAGAAAATAAACATGCAAAAATGTAAAAAAAACAACTTTCATCATCACTACTGGCTTAAAATTAATCTATGAATAAAAATACTTTATATTTTACTGTTTAACTTCAGTTGTATCTTTTCTCTTCCGGGTTGCCAGTTCTGCTTGTTGCTTGTTTTGATCTGGCAACTCGGGCTGCGACTGACCGGCTTGGCCGGGATTCCTCCCACCACCCCTCTTGCTCCTGGTTCTTGCTCGGTCGTCCGGTTCTGTGTTGTCAACCAAGGTCATGTTGGGAATCCCACAGGACAGCTTGTCCTCCAGAAGCTTCCTGATGGCTCTGGTTTCTGGAAACAAACAAACAAACAACATGTTTCATGTCTCAGCTGCTGGACTGCATGGATGGTTGGATTATTGTTCAGCTGAAACACCAGAAGCTGAAGTTATGAACAGGTACCACATTCCAGCAGGTGGCGCCACTTCAAAGAATGAAAACTACAAACTGCAGAAATAACAGAAAATCTCATTTTTTTCTACAAACTGCCTCTAAATGAAGCTAAACTTCAGTTTTAGTGACGTTCTGCTGATGGTGGAGCAATTATTTGTTGTGAAATTAAATTCTGTGGAGCTTCTGCACAATGACAATAAACATATAATTCTGTTTTTTAAATTTTGCACATTTAACAAGCCCTGAATTAATGTTTATAAAATTATAATTTACTTGTGAGTTTCATAAACTTTAAGTCGAGTAAAGTTTGATTTCTGTGTTTCAGTTTGTTGTTGATTGTTGGGAAATATTCAAGTAGTTTGATGTTTATATTCATGCTCTTATTTTGAAGTCTGTTTATGTAGCGTTTCAGATTCTGGCTGTTTTTCCCCAATAATTTTATTTGAAACAAGAAACAAAACGAATAAAATAAATAATGTTTTATAAATCATGCAAATGAAGTCAAAATTAATCTGGTAATTTATGATTGTAGTGTTTAGAGTTCAGGTCTGAAGTTAGCGCTTTAGCATTAGCGCCCGCCAACAGTGAGGTTTAGTATGTTTAGTACTGAACTTTTCAATGATTTGAAATTTTTCTGCTTCAGGAACAGAAAACATTTCAATTTAGAAATTTACAGAAAAAATCAAAACTCGACTTTAAAGTGATTTGAAACATTAATTTAGCCTCAGAGCTAAATTTTCTTTTGGTCTTTTTAGGATTTTAATATATTTCTATTGATTTTCTGAACACAGACACAGAAAAGTGTGTGAAATAATATAAATGAAGCTAAAAACAGATGAAAGTGCCTGAAGGGAACCTTTGGGTTGCGTTAGAATCAGAATCAGCACCACAGACAGAAACTCAGAGCATCAACACTCAGTTTTTATTTTCCTCACATTATTGATACGTCATAAAATATTTTTATGATTATTTATGTTAATATTTGTTATATATGAATGATAAAATAATGTAGATTAATTTCTTTATTGCATTTTTCTGACAAAATATTGATTTTCAATATTTTTAACAGGTTGATAAAATGAATAGAAATGGAAATAATTTGTGTTTAAATGTGTTTTTGAAAGATTATCAAACTGATTATAGGATTTATTGACATTATCAATATGTCTGTGGCTCAGTCTGAACATACTGAGGATTTATTTATGGTTGACCCTCTCAGTAAACCTTTAGTTTCCTACCTGCAGCTGAAGGTTACTCACCGTTTTTAGGAGAGATGTACTCTGAAATGAAGGCAGGAGACATGAAATATTTAAAAACATCCAGATTTACTAAAAACTGAATAATATAAACACAGTTGTTACCTGAGGGGTTTGGAGCTGCGTCCACGTCACCTGATGCTGCTGATGCTGCAGGAAGCAGAAACATTTAACATCCAGCTGCTGTCAGAGTCAAACATCAGATCAATTGATTAATGATCCTTTTATCTTCAAACCTTCATTCAAGGCTAAAATCTTCAACTGTTTAAATTTGCTTGAACAAAACAAGTTTAAATGAAACTTGGATCAGTTTCAATCTTCACCAAATGAGGAAAGCAGCTCTGAGCGATTCGTCGTCTTCCTGAAAGCTTCCACTCGTCTCTGAGCTTCATCGGCTCCGTCCAGGCAGTCGATCAGCTGGTCGCCGACCGCTTTTCTGTGCAGACAGACGCCGGAGCTGCAGTGGAAAGCTCCGTTCCTGCAGCCTGCAGACAACGTCTCAGGGAAAAGCTCGACATGTTTGTCTCTGGATGTGTGAGTTTGGTTGTTACTTTTGCAGCACATCTCATCGCTGCGGTCGCCGCAGTCATCCACGCCGTCGCATGTCTGGTTGCGGAAATGCATTTCTGGTTTGCACAGGTGAAGCCGCATTCTGCAGTAGAGACGCAATCAGACAGGAGGAGGCGACCACATCGCATCAAACTTTCATCTAAATATTATAAATAATTTGACAGGATTGCAAAAGATCAGATTTTAATGTATTTCATGACTTTTTCAGATAAAACATGAGAGCCTTAAAAACGGCTGATTCATGGAAGATATTCATCAGCGGCGCGAAAACACAGCAAACATCAAAACACACAAAAGGAAAATGCTGCATCTTTGCTCCACAAACTGGAGGTCCTCCAGGCCACCAGGGGGAGTCTGCACCAAATAAAATGGAACCAGGTTTTAAATAGAGAAGAAGAAAAAATAAAAGAGGAAAGAAAATATATTCTTGACCTTTTACAACGTTATAGTGCAGCAGAAGATTTATGCAGGAAATATTACCGACTCCAGACGCCCCCTGGTGGACTGGAGGACTTCCATGTTGTGCAGCGAGTTCACAGCATTATATACTGTTGTTTATGGTAATACTAGTTAAACTCTGAGTTGGTTAACTCCTGAAGAAGAAGTGAGCAAATTGTTTCTGCTAACGTTGGAAACCAACAGATAGAGATGTTATCATTCTTTCTGTGATAACGTTTCTTATCTGTTGATGAGCGTAGCGAGGCGTCTCTCTCTGTAAAACTCTTCCAGGTGTTTCCTGAATCTTTATGACCTCAGCATGTTCCCACTGACCTTCAGGTCTGTCCTTATAGCAGGTCGCTGTGGCCACCATGCCGCCGTCAGCGGCCTTGTGGCCGTAGATCTCACACTCAGCCAGAGACATTTCGTAGCCCTGGCAGTGGACGCTGACGCAGTGGCTGGGCAGATCGCTGCTGGGCGGCAGGGAGTTGTAGTCCACAGAGTCTGCAGACGCTGCACCTTTGTCACTGTAAATAGTTGTTCAGTTAGCTTGTGTCAGTCATGGATGTAACTGTAGGTAATGTCCTCACAGCGGGTTTTTGTGGTCCCTGCAGGCCACGTTAGCAGCTGCCATGTCCCAGTCCTGCTGGCACAGCAGCAGGTTCTCTCTTCCTCCGGTGGCATTAGGAAGGTAGATCCTGATCAGCCCTGTGTCTTTGTCCAGGATGCTCTGGAACTTATTGTCTGGAGTCACAAAACACAGAAAATATCATTTATAAAACTGAAAACAAAGCTGTAAATGTATCTGTGAAACAGAACCTGTGCAGACTTTTCCAAAGTGGACATTACAGGCTTCTGGGTCCGGCATGAGGCAGCCATCGCCTGGAAACAAAATCAGCATTTCTTAAAGCAGAGAGTCTCGATGAGTGGTCAAGAACGGACAGGTCTGGTTCTACCTGACAGTACGACGTGAATCTCTTGTGGTTCTCCCCACAGACCGGTTTCACGCCTTCAACGGGACACAGGTAGGGAAGTTTGCAGGTACACCGACCTTCAACGCAGCGCTGCCACGGAGGGCAGAACACCACGCCACACGACGCCCGGGTCAACCTGAGCAACAGCTTCCTGTTAGCAACCTGAACCTGCTAGCAAACATTTCTCTGGCTGTTAGCCGGTTCCAGCCTGGGAACTGCTAGCTAAAAGGTCAGCTGTGCTAAAGCACTATATGAACATTAGCCCTGCTAATGCTAAGCACTATAACAACATGGTATTTAGCAGAAGCTAATGCTAATGTGTCAGTAAAAGCTGTTATTTCGCCCCCACTGGGTCACATCGGTGTTGTTTAGTAGATGAGAAACATTTGGTAACTTTCTAACTTACTTTTTGTCCAGACATTGTTGTGGACCCAGGAACTGGTCCGTGTCGGGTGCTGTGGTGGTTTTTGGGGCGGGTGTTGTGGACTCTGTGGACGCTGTGGGTGTTTGTGGACGCTTTGTCCACTGGAGTTGTTTGGGGTTTTGGAAGCTTCGGTTTTTCTCGGACCTGTTTCTGCTCTATGGCCTTCGGCTGCTCTGAGTCTGGTGGATTACTCTGAAGATAAGACAGAGTCACAAACAAAGAGCTTAGCACAGAAGCTAAATGTTTAGCATTATGCAGATAATATTTGATTATTTTTAAAAGAAGCTTAGATGCATATTAGCAACATTTAATTGATATTCTGACAAGCTAAATAAATATTCTTGGGTTGTGGAAAATATTGAATATGGAGCTTTTTTTTAATTGTGTCAAAAATAATTAATCAGTAATTTGGTAGCATAAATAATTCAAACACATTTTACAGAACTGAAAAACAGAAAGTCCAGATAACTTTATGTCGGTTACAACAAAAAATTCTAACAAAATAAATCAGGTTTTTTGTTTAGATGTGGCATAAAATTATAGATCTGATCAAATTTTAAAGGTTGATCATTAATATTTAGCACTCAGGACAAATGAAGCTGTAGGTTTTTGGGTTCAGTAAATAATCTCTGTGGAGAATGAAGTTTCTGTTACGGTTTGACCTGAAGGGAATAAATCGGCCCAACTCACCGCCTGAGAGCCAAGGATGAGGAGAACCAGCAGGAAGGAGTCCGATCTCATCCTGATGGTTCCGAGGATCCAGTTGCAGAACCTTCCTGGTCAGATTCAGCCTCAGATCTGAGGCTTCCTCTGCTGGCTCATGGTGTCACCATCAATCATTAGCTTTTCCTGTCACTGTGAACACATGATTGATCCGTCTGAGGGAAACCCAGATTCCCGACAGCAGAGAACAAATATTTTCTGTTCAAATGTTTAAACCCGTTCGATGATCCGGGAGTTTCAGAAGTTTCACAGCTGCTTTGATTACAGTTAGCTGGATGCTAATTAACATTAGCTAATTAGCATCAGCTAATTAGCTAGACTTAGAGAGAGACTTAGACTTGACTTTATTGATCCCTTGGGAAGACTCCCTCAGGAAATTATAGTTACCAGCAGCTCACAGGCAAAAATGTGGCACACAGTAAGCATACACAAAAGAATACAAAAAAATACAAATTAAATACAAAACAAAGAATATAAATACAACACAAAAGGAAATTATAGCAATTTGGTGGATAGATTGACCAGTGATATGGTAGTGCCCTGTATGGTTTGGCCTGATAAATATGGAGTTCACATTTGTAGAAACTACTCCTTCTTCCCTCTGTCCTGTGTCACCTCGGACCCCCCAGTGAGGAGTTGTACAGTCTGAAGGCGTGGGGGACAAAGGAGTTCTTGAATCTATTGGTCCGGCACTTGGGAAGCAGCAGTCTGTCACTGAACCGGCTCCTCTGGCTGCTGATGACGGCATGTAGAGGGTGGCTGCTATCGTCCATGATGTCCAGCAGTTTGTTCAGTGTCCTCGCCTCTGCCACCGTCACCAGAGAGTCCAACTAGATGACATCATGGATTTCTGTTTGGCTAAAAATGTTTTTAACCAAAATATTTTGCAGAAACTTTATTAGGACTTAAACTCCTAGAAAACAATTAACAATAGAATCATATTTATTTGATCAAATTTGATCAACCAGAGACTTTTATCCGCTGCATAAAATGAAAACCCTTTGGCTAATTTATTGCAGTTAAATGTCTGAAAACTGCGACACATTTCTGCCAAAACTTAGAAATTCATCTGAATATTTTCTATAAAAAGTTTCTGAAAGTTTTTGGAATTTCAAAAGTCCAGAAATGTTTTTAGATTTTTCAAACTGAAGCTTTTTTGTTTTTTCTAGAAAATGTAAGTTTGAAAATTCACAAATTTTCAACTTTCTGAGTTTTTTACAGTTTCAAAAATTGAAAATCTCAACATTTTTCAAACTCTGTTTTTTGTAACATTTTCTGCTTTCAAACTGTTTCAAATTTCCATGTTTTTTATTTATTGTGTTTTTAATCAAATGTTTTGTTGCTGAAATGTTCTGTAGTAATAAATTTGACAGAAAAGTTCCTTCCTGCTTCTGGAAACAAATCAACTGAAATGTTTCTGTTTTAAGTGACAGTAAAGATTCATAAACATGAGTCTGAACATGCAGTCAGGAATTTTCAAAAGTCTGAAATGTTTGTGTGCAGCTGCAGCGTTTTCCTAACAGGTTAACGTCCAACGCTGAATAAATAAAGACAATTTCAAAATCACTGAGTCGCTTCAGCAAAAACAAACATCTGCAGCTGAACGCATGAAATCTGTTTCTGTTTTCTAAAGGATTAAAATAATTCAGAAGATTTCTGAGGGATTTATTAAACATTGAGACATTTGGAGTTTTTTATTTGACTTTTTCTGAAGTTTATGACGATTTTCATCAGTGAAGCTCATTTTTTCTCTTCAGACTGAAGGAAATAATTAAAGAATAAATGATTGTTTCAGGTGTAAAAATCACAAAATGTGCAGAAAATGAGATGAAATGACAAAAAACACTAAAAATAGCCACAAAGTTTTCAGATTAACTGATTTGATTTGATTTAATTTTACATTTAAAGTAAAATAAAGTCAGAAAAAACAAATAATGACAGAGTAACAGAGTTAGTTTATTAAAGTTTCTGCATCCTTCACAATTAAAGGTTCTGCTTAGAAATAAAAGATAAAAATAATCATTTCCTCCATAATTACCTCAGAAAACTTTATAAATATCAATTTAACTGGAAAATAGATGATTTTTCAGTTAAAAAACAGCAATGAATTCAAAATCAAGCTAAATTATTAATGTAAATCTTGAAAATTGTTTAATTTATAGGTAAAATGAAGAATTTTCTAAAACATGAAGAAAACTGAATTATTTCAACTAATATAAAACAAAAACATGAACATGAAGGAGAGAAGGAAACATTTTGATTAAGATATAAAAGTAAGAAGTAAAATTTATGACTTGTGGTGCAAATATAATGTTGAATGAATTTCTAACTCACACAGAATAAAACATTTACTGTGGTGAGACAAAACGGATCAATAATCACAGGAACCTTTAATGAATCAATGAAGCTTCATTAAATTACTAGTTTTTGCATCGTTTCCTAAACGCTGAACATTTCTGTCCCTGAAACGTTTCGTGTTTCTGCGACAAATCGATGAAAACCTGAAGCTCAACGTTTCCTAAAAGGAGTTTTTAAACCGGGTTCTGAGGAGCCGGGTTCTGTTTAGCCGGGTTCTGTGGAGCCGGGTTCTGTGGAGCCGGGTTCTGTTTAGCCGGGTTCTGTGGAGCCGGGTTCTGTGGAGCCGGGTTCTGAGGAGCCGGTGTCAGCAGGCAGTAGCTTACTCACAGGCGATCGCTGCAGGAGAAAGACGAAGTTTTACCGCCGGCGCCGTTTAATAATTTAATCTGAACCGATTTATCGGTTTATTCGACTTTTAGACAAAATCTGGATTAAAAATGGCTAAAAATGATCATTATGAAGTTATGACATAAATTTGCATCAGTGAAACTAATTATCTTTAAAGTCTCTCAATGATGTCATCGCCTAATTTGCATATTTGGTCATAATCGATTCAAGCTTTAGAACAAATTCATTTCAAAAGTGATTAAAAATACAACAAACTTTATGAGATAATTTCATAAACATTTTGCCTGAACCTGCTTTGCATAAATCAGTTTTATATGATATCAAAATGAGGAGATGAATCAGCGACTGATTGAAAGCCAGGAATTTATTTAGATAATTTTAGATAATTTTAGATTTTAGAATAAAACATTAAAATTCATATTTATGAGTTTAATATCAGACTCACTACATGCAGCACGTGTTGCAGAGTGATTTTTCATTTCACATCTCTAGTGATATAGAAATAAAAACGCTGATTTCATTTTTGGAAAAAAGTCACAGAGGGAACTCAAAGTTACATTTTGTGGCCAAACGCCAAATCTGGTGTCATCTGCACACGGCGACGCCCAGCGTCTCGTTGAACCGAAGACAAGGAAACATGGCGGCGACCCAGAGGAGCGCAGGGCGTCGGCCATCTTGATACTGCGCTCTTCTTCAGTGTTGGTGATGGCTGGAAACGGGTCAGTTCTCAACAAAACACCAGAACCGAGCTTCTTCCAAAGTAAAGGTACTGTAGGATAGCGACGGCTCAGAACCGCTCCACAGAACCCCGGTTATGGACGGAGCCGCTTTGCTCCAGAGACGTTCAGCTAACAGGAAGTTCTCGAAACTACAATGGATTGTTGCTGTAAAAGAGATAAAATGTGTTTGATTATCTGAGAAATTTAATTTATCATCATTTAAAATCTTGTTTTCAATCTATTTTGTCCCAAATGATGGAATCATTAACCTGAGAGTGTTTGGTTTGTGCTGGATAATTCTGAAATGTTTCTGCTGATGATCTAATTAAGACTCTGAAATCGACTCAAACAAGCAAAAGAAAGTAAAATAAAAACTCCAACACAGACAAACTGATCAATATTCCTGTTTCCACTTTATTGCACCAAATGATCAGCAGAGTTAAAGGCCTTGATCTCAACAGGACAATAAAAACCAAAGATTATAGGAAACAACATGCAACATCCTGCAAACAGAGACCAGACACACAGAGGCACCGACGTTTATCACCAAGACACACTTACAGGAGTCAAAGGTCGTGGCAACCAAACGAGCCAAACAGAAATGAAACTGCAGAAACATTTAAAGCTGCAGTACGTCATTTTTATTCAGATGTTTTTCATGTTTGTTATGGGAGAGATCATCTGATCTCCTCCATCTTCTCTCTGAGCTGCTGTCTGAAGAAATGCTCCGAATGTAGCCAATCAGAGCCGAGAGGCGGGGCTTAGCGCTGTCAATCACTCTCATGAACTCGCAGTTAAATGTGCTGATGGCAAAGAAACAGCATATTGTTACAGGAAAACTGTTTCTCTGTTGTCATCGGTGGCTAGGCTAACTAAGCTAACTAGCATTGAGGGAGGAGGATGAGCAGCATCACACAGAGGATGATTAACAGCGCTAAGACACGCCTCCCGGCTCTGATTGGTTGTTTTTTAGTTTGCATTTGGACGAGCCAACGAGATTAATTTATTTACTTTTAACCGATTATCTGTCACAACATGGTGAGTTTCAACAAACGTGTAAAAATATATAATTTTATAACAAACTGCAGCTTTAATTCTCACTTTGAACAAACAATCCAGTTATTATTTAGTTATTTGGGCTTCATTTCACTTCCTGCCTAATCCAAATCTTAACTTCATACTTTTCTCCAAACCATAAATGATCCTCAACTCATTTAACCACAGAAATCCTGATATTCAGTATTTTATTAAAAATCTAAAATTAGACAAGATTCATTTTGACACCATTTATTCTAAATCTTACTAAATTAAGACAACCAGACAGTCAATGAAAAATTTCTATTTGCTAAAAAAGGAAATAATATCCCATCAGTTTCATCACAACCAAATTAAAAACTAAAAATAAAAGAACTGGAGTTTGACCTTTGACCTTTCCATTTCTCCGGGTCGACTCTGTTCGTTGCCACGACTCCTTCATAATCACTACGAGACGACAGAAACATCCAGACGTTACGACAGAAACATCCATAGGATCGACTCTGACGGGTTTCATGGAAGCAGAAATGACTTCAAGCTCGGAAAACGACAAAAAAACATTTCATCGTTTCTATGAACCCATAAACCTCTCAGGGATTTTCCTCCCTCACCGAATCCCCGTCTCATTCAACTAAATACATAGAATGATCATTTTTGATCCATGTTTTTGGAGAAAGTAGATTGTGCTTACATTTACGATACACCATAAAGTCGCTCTCATATTCCTATATATACACTTTTGTTCTAAACATCTGTAGGATTTACAGCTTATTTCAGGCTAAAAGCTAAAAAGCAACAAAACAGAAAACAAAAAGGCAATTTGTTCAAAACTTTACAAAAATAAGAGAAAATTAAAGCTTCAATCCTTGGAGGCTGAGCAGCGGTTATTATTTCTCAGAGACGGAGCTGCAAAAGTGTGAATTTTAATAAAATAATCTGCTAAAGAATCAACATCCTGTGGCTTCATAATTTAAAATCAGGGCTTTTCTTCTACAAATGTTTCCTAAAATATAATATTTTAATCTGATTAGCAGTCAAACTTCCTATTATTGTTGGTGTTTTCAATGTGCTAATCAGAGTAGATTGATGTAATGTGAACGACAGACGTTCTGGTGCCACGCAACATTGAGACGCTTTTTATTCCTCATCTGTTTTAACCTTCAATACTTTCTTAATGTGTTTCCTAACAAGGTTAGTTTGAGTGGGGACTGTTTTAATTTATAACAGACACGAAAATATTTATTTAACCTAAATAAATTCATTTAAAACATAGCGTACCAAGTACACAACCTTGTGGAATTTCATTTAGAGGAACCGATACCAGAACGGTCCGAGTGCCGGGCCCTGTGGAACCCCACACGGTCAATATTTCAGGGAAAAAGCTGTCAATATGTAGCATTTATGAACCTATAGAGGTCCAGGTTACCAACACCAAAAACTGGTGTTAGTCACCGCTATAACTAGCTTTAGCTGAGTTAGCTTAGCTAAGTGCTAAGCTAACCAAAATGCAAAGCTTTTTAGAGAATCAAAAGCTGCTCTATATTTGAGAAACTCAACAATAAGTTAAACTCTTTGGCTTCTCAGCATCAACCCAACAAAAACCTGACAAGAACAAAAAATCTTCTATTGCTGCTAAAAATGTGCAATTCCTGCCGTTTGAGTGAGAAATCTCCTTCAGATGTGCATAACAGCCTGTGTGTGTGTGTGTGTGTGGTGTGTGTGTGTGTGTGGTGTGTGTGTGTGTGTGTGTGTGTCTGTGTGTGTGTGTGTGTGTGTGTGTGTGTGTGTGTCTGTGTCTGTGTGTGTGTGTGTGTGTGTGTGTGTGTGTGTGTGTGTGTGTGTGTGTGTGTGTGGTGTGTGTGTGTGTGTGTGTGTGTCTGTGTGTGTGTGTGTGTGTGTGTGTGTGTGTCTGTGTCTGTGTGTGTGTGTGGGGTGTGTGTGTGTGTGTGTGTGTGTGTGTGTGTGTGTGTGTGTGTGTGGTGTGTGTGTGTGTGTGTCTGTGTGTGTGTGTGTGTGTGTGTGTGGTGTGTGTGTGTGTGTGTGTGTGTCTGTGTCTGTGTGCGTGTGTGTGTGTGTCTGTGTGTGTGTGTGTGGTGTGTGTGTGTGGTGTGTGTGTCTGTGTGTGTGTGTGTCTGTGTGTGTGTGTGTGTCTGTGTGTGTGTGTGTGTGTGTGTGTGTGTGTGTGTGTGAGAGCTTGGAATGAGTTCAGTTGCTTTGTTTAGGCCACCACTGGTGAAAAGGCTGTGACTGCGTAGCGTTTCTACAGGTAAACCACCAAAACGTTTCTCCTGCAGAGACAGTAACTGTCTCACTATTTCTACTGTGATTTAGCCGTTTATCCTACTAATTAATATCTGTTTTCAAAAAATAATCAAAGTAAAATGAAGCCAAAGAGGAAATCAAACTCCAATTTGTCATTTTTTCCAGATGTTTTGCTCTTTTTTGGAATAAGTTTGGTTTTTACTTTGTGCTTTTTGGTGAAACATTTGTGAACAAATCTAATCTGACTTCCTCAATGGATCATGAACTTCTGAGTAAACTGACAAAGCGAAAGCTCAGCCTGGGATCTGCAGCTCCAGGCTGAGGGAGCGGAGAGCGATCTGGATGCGGAAGCGTGAAGTGAACCAGCTGAGGTCACGGCGTGCTGACAGGCGAACCCTTCAGGCTGCTGAGCGCCGCGTGGATCCTGAAGTGAAGCCTGGACTCCATGGAGTAATCCTTGTAGTTCGTCCTGACGGGGAACAAACATCAGTCACTGCAAATAAACCGATCATGGAATCCTAAACACGCATTCAGAGCTGCTACTCCACACAGTGACTCTTTCAGGTCAAAGTTCAGATGAATAACTTCTATGTCTTGATGGTTTTACAGCAGTCAGTTCTTTAAAGCGGTTTGCAGGAGCTGCAGAGGTGTGTGGTCCAAGGCTGCGTTCACATGAGCCCCGTTCAATCCGCTTTAATCAAACTGGTTCCTTCGGTGTGAACGCAGAACCAAACTGGTCTGCCTACAAACCCAGGTCTTGGTTTGGTTGAAGTGAAATCTGGTGTGGTTCAAATGCATATGTGAACACCAAATAGACCAGAAGTAGACTCGAGCGCATGGCATTCTGGGTAGATGCAACTGAAACAAACGTTAGCGAGCGCTAGCAGGAGAAACGGCTCGTATTCGTTAGCGAGAGACTAAAGACAAATCCTCCAACTGATCACATCTGACACTCCTCCATTCTTCCATAAATCTCGTACAGAAGGGCGTTGCTGTCAGTGTCTTATTCTAGCTCTTGGTGCAGCGCCCCCACAGGTGAGGAGGGGAACACGTTTTTCAATTAGTTTTGATTGCTTGTCTCAGGTCAGTGAGAAAGAGAACCGACTGGACTACCAGCTGTGAAAACATCCGAAGATGAAAGATCTTCTTTTGTGAAAGAATTTGAGCAATTTGACGTTTCAAAATTAAATTTGCTGAATAGAAACATTGCTGCTCGGAGGAGACCGTTTGCTTAGCCGTATCAAAATTAGTTTATTTCAGAAAAATGTAACGGAAACATAGAAACACTTATTTCACATCATGAGTCTGATAATCAAGAACTGGATGTTACTACTGGCGAAAACTACAAAGAAGACAACAGGAAGTAGTTGGAGGATGATGGCACAACATGTTTTTAATGAATTATCGCGTAAAACTTATTCACACGTGATTTTTATTGAGTTTCTTATTTAATGGAAACATTATATTTGTAAAATTGTTTTTTTTTACGACATTAGTGAAACACTGACAACAATTTGTGCACATTTGTAATGGAAACGCAGCTCATGTTAGTGTTTTTCAGACCAAACCAAAGATTTCTTCAAGCAAAACTTCTGTTCATTTAAAAGATGTTAATAGGGTTTAAATGTAATTAATGTTTCTTGAACTTACTTGGCTTTTTCAATGTAAGTGGCGGCCTTAACGAAGTCGCCCTGTTGCTTGTACAGCAGACCCAACTCGTAGAGGGAGAACGGGACCAGGTAGTGGTCGTACCGGATGCGACTCTCGCTGCAAACACACAGATGTGATCTGATCTTTACCAGCAGGACGAGAGCGGCAGCAGGAAGAGGCTGGACCAGGTGTTACCTGGAGAGGACCTGTGTGAAGCAGAGCTCAGCCTGAAGCAACCGGCCCAGATGTTTCAGGCACAGACCCTTCAGCATCTGGACCAGGCCGCTGTCATCTGGGTGGAACTCGGACGGATCTGAGAGACGGAAAACAAACTGTTAGCATGTTAGCATGCTCAAGAAGACTCATGGATGATGATCCATTTGAATTTATCTTCCTCAAATCCTCGAAACAACTTCTGCGTGTTAACGACTTTAAAGTGATTTTAAAAAGTGACTAAAATCACTTTTATTCAGTTAATTTTACTGTAAAAGTTAGTTGAGCCCAAAACACCAGAGTGGAAACGTTTTCATCCAGTTTTTGAAAGAAAGACAGAAAAGAGAAAAATAATAAACCATGCAAAAGGAAATTATTGAGTTCATTTTAATTTAATATGCGATTAATTGATGTATTGTTCATTGCAACAGGCATAGCTGCAGCGCTTTTAGCTGCAGCATTTTTAGTTGCGGCGCTTTTAGCTGCAGCATTTTTTCTTGCAGCGTTTTCAGCTGCAGCATTTTTTCCTGCAGTGCTTTTAGCTGCAGCATTTTTAGCTGCAGCGCTTTTAGCTGCAGCACTTTTAGCTGCAGCATTTTAGCTGCAGCATTTTTTCCTGCAGCGTTTTTAGCTGCAGCATTTCTGTTTTTAGTTTATATCCGTTTTCACCTGTTGGCCTCCATGTTTTTGTGTCTGTCACTTTCTACAGACAATAACAGATCTGTTTTTCATGTTTCCATGTGTAATATTTCCTAGACGTTTGTAGCAGAAGTGAATTGTTGCTCACTGGTGTCGTTGCGAAGCTGCTGCTCTGCTTTCTCGATGGTGACCAGCAGAGACTCGGTGTAGTCGGCTCTCTTCCCTACGATGGTGAACCCGTTCCAGACGTACATCATCTCCTACAGACAAACACTAATTCATCTCTTCTGACTGAATGTTCCCATTAGTTTCCCGTTAAAGTGGAGCTGAGGTTTGGTTGCTGTACCAGAGCAGGAACCACCAGCGGGACGGGCTGAGCAGCTTTGTAGCGTCTGGACTTCCTCACTGCAAACTTCTCCATGGGGATGGACTTCCCAGCCAGCCGCTGTTTCAGCCCCTCCACCTGCCTGCACACAAAAACACCTTCAGACCTCTGAGCCTGAAACCGACACAAAACGCTCAAAACTGCTGCAAAAATCTACAGAAACATTTTTAGTTTCACTGCAGCCTGAATTTTTCACTGACGTTAAGTTTTCAAAATGCTTTGTTTCCATACATACTTTACACCATTAAACAAATATATATATTTCTTAATTTAATCTTTAGAAAAAGTGATTTCATTGTGAAAAACCTTTTCAATTCACTTCCAGACACGTTTTGCCTTCGTTAACTGAGACAATTAAACGTGTTTGAGTTCATAATGATGGACTTGATGAAGGTTTATGGATGTGGATCAAAGCAACCTGAAGACTTCGACGATGTCTTCTCCAGTCTTCCTCACGTCGTCCTCCGTCATCATGCTGAGAATCGCTGCTTTCTGGTACATATAGATGGCCTGAAAACAACAAACACAGATGAACCGATGAACAGACTGCAGTTTGCTCAGGCTGGGAGGATCCGCAGCAGGGCTGACCTTTGACCAGCGGCTCTCTTTGCACAGCAGGTCAGCGTATCGGTACGCCTGCTGCCATTCCTGCTGGAAGGAGTGAGTCCACATCAGCTCCCAGTAACACAGGTGGTGGATCTGCTTCCACTCCTGCTGGCTGCTGATGCATTCCTCGAACCTGGAGCGCGCCTTTAAAACAGAGCCGGTCTTTAAACGATGCGCCTCGGCTTCACACATCTTAAACTTTTAATGTCTGGTAAAAGTCGGATCAAAACGTCGTGAAAATAAACGTTTTGTTGCACGGCTCTGTGAGAGTCTGCACAGACGAACCTTCTCAAAGTTTCCTCGCAGGGTGGCGATGCGAGCGGAGTAGAAGAGGATGATGGAGCCCTAAAAGAAACAATAACCATACGATGAATCCTGATCAATCAATACATAATCAAAGAGCCTCTACTGGTCTTACTGTGGGGTATTTTTGTTGGTATGGCTCCAGCAGAGTCTCAGCCTCCATCAGGTTCCCCTCCCCCGTTCCTTACACCAAAACAGAAACAAGCAACTATAAAAAGTGAAATATTCAGGTTCGACATCAAACAAATAAAGATTCGTAGAAATTTCCTACCCAGAATCAGCGACACGTAAGTGTTATAGAAGAGCAGAGTCAGCACACAGATTATCGAACGCAAACTTTGGCTGGCTGCTCCCTCCCTCAGCTGAGACAAACCAAACCTCTGCAGCAGAAACGGCAATGAGACGCCAGCTCTCCTCACGGCAGACGTTCATTTCCCGTCTTTGATAAAATATCTGCACACAACGTTTAAAAGAGGAGAAAAACTCACCCTGTTTCCTGAGAAGCCAATAAACTCCAACAACCTTAAAATCCTCTGAGGAAGGAGAGACAACATCTGGAACAAAGAATCAAATTCAAAGATTTATTAACAAAGTACAGCTAAATATAATTTACTTTGTATAATTTGTATCTTTAGAACTGTAAGAGTTTGGGAATGTTTGCCGATATGCTGATGATGCAGCGCTAAACGCAGCAGAATCCAAAAAATGGACAAACATTTGAAAGACTCTTTGAATGTGTTTGAGTTTAAAAACCCAACAACTCAAAATCTGCTGAGGAAGGAGACATCAAAAACAAACAATGAAATAAATCTGAGAAAATTCATTTATAAAGTACATCTAATTATAATTTATTTAGCAGAATTTGTTTTGTTTTTTCTGTAAGACTTTAGGAAAGTTTGCCGATATGCCGATGACACAGCGCTAAACGTAGCAGAATCCAAAATATGAGTTTTTCTGTGTTTAAAAACAAAACAAAAACCTTCACATCAGTTTAAATGAATTCACTTTAAATATTTTCCTCTCCCACCAGGTTAAAGAGCCGATGCCCAGCTTGACTCCGCCCTCAAACTGTTTGAACGAGTTCAGCTGCTCCGCCTTGTCCTGGCTGATGTTCAGCACGTTCTGACAGTCCCTAACGAGAAACACAAAGCCTGATATTATAATCGATTATCATTTCAATTTTGTCTCAGATGGCCGTTCGTTAGTCACTCACTTGTAGATTTGGTAGCTTGTTCGAATCTTGATTCCTCCTTTTATGAAACTGATCATGTTCTCATCCTGGAAAATAAGGACAGAAAAAAAACAGTTTATTTACATTAAAATGACTGAAACATCCATTAATTTTAAGGTTTTCCTGTCAGATTGAAATGCAGGCAGAACCTTCACACCTGGTGGATTCATTTCCTTTTCTTCCCCAACATTCATGGAGCAAAATTATAAAACCAAAACACAAAACTTTAAACCTGATTTCATTCTGAGGGTGTTGAGATAAAAATTTGCCACGATAGAAAACAAACTTTGAAAAGCATTGTGATGCTAAGAGACGCTAGAAGAACAAGATGAAGCAAAGTGGACAAAGAGACAACTTCCACAAAAACAACTGCAAAAAAGCCTCTTAATTAACAAAACTCCATCCTACATGAAGGAGAGTTTATTTATGGGTAACATGTTGTCATTTAGAACCTTTTCTTATTTCTCTGATTTAATATTTACAGACCAGTTACAGAAAATAAGCTTATTTAATTAAAAACACAGTGACTATATTGAAGGATGAACATAATTCAAATATATTTAGCTGATTTAATAACAGTGACTCTGACCTGGATGAAAGTGAGCGTTGCTTTCTGCAGAAGGCACTCGGCATACAGAGCTCTGCATGCATCTCCTCTGCAGACACAAAGACAGGCCCCAGTTAAACCCAGTGACTCCCGGTTGAACCCAGTGACTGCCAGTTAAACCCAGTGACTCCCAGTTAAACCCAGTGACTCCCAGTTAAACCCAGTGACTCCCAGTTAAACCCAGTGACTGCCAGTTAAACCCAGTGACTCCCAGTTAAACCCAGTGACTCCCAGTTAAACCCAGTGACTGCCAGTTAAACCCAGTGACTCCCAGTTAAACCCAGTGACTCCCAGTTAAACCCAGTGACTCCCGGTTGAACCCAGTGACTCCCAGTTAAACCCAGTGACTGCCAGTTAAACCCAGTGACTCCCAGTTAAACCCAGTGACTCCCAGTTAAACCCAGTGACTGCCAGTTAAACCCAGTTAAACCCAGTTAAACCCAGTGACTGCCAGTTAAACCCAGTGACTCCCAGTTAAACCCAGTGACTCCCAGTTAAACCCAGTGACTGCCAGTTAAACCCAGTTAAACCCAGTTAAACCCAGTGACTGCCAGTTAAACCCAGTTAAACCCAGTTAAACCCAGTGACTACCAGTTAAACCCAGTGACTGCCAGTTAAACCCAGTGACTTCCAGTTAAACCCAGTGACTGCCAGTTAAACCCAGTTAACCCAGTTAAACCCAGTGACTGCCAGTTAAACCCAGTTAAACCCAGTTAAACCCAGTGACTACCAGTTAAACCCAGTGACTGCCAGTTAAACCCAGTTAAACCCAGTGACTGCCAGTTAAACCCAGTTAAACCCAGTTGAACCCAGTGACTGCCGGTTAAACCCAGTGGTTCCCAGTTAAACCCAGTGACTGCCAGTTAAACCCAGTGGTTCCCAGTTGAACCCAGTGACTGCCGGTTAAACCCAGTGACTCCAGTTAAACCCAGTGACTCCAGTTAAACCCAGTGACTCCAGTTAAACCCAGTTAAACCCAGTTGAACCCAGTGACTCCCAGTTGAACCCAGTTAAACCCAGTTAAACCCAGTGGTTCCCAGTTGAACCCAGTGGTTCCCAGTTGAACCCAGTTAAACCCAGTTAAACCCAGTGGTTCCCAGTTGAACCCAGTGGTTCCCAGTTGAACCCAGTGGTTCCCAGTTCGTACCTTCCTGTAAGTTGGACTGCTTGCTGATCAGGCTGGACAGAGATCCGACCACCGAGTTTCTCTTTCTGAACCTGTAGAAACATTTCAGTCTTTGGTGACTTTATGTTTCCTACTGCAGTGAAGAAGGTTTTCTGATCAGATGAGACCAAAACGAAACATTTTTATCTCCATACAAACTCAGCGGTTCGGTGGATTCGACCCAGTGTCCCTGAACGCACCATCCAGAGCTGAAACATGGTGGTGGCAGCATCATGCTGTAGAAAACCAGCTAAGTATTGACAGCAGACTAGCATGAAGGCTACATATGGGGGAGATTATTATTGGATGGTTTAAATCAGAGCATCTTCATGCTTGAGAATGGTCTAGTTAAAGTCCAAGTCTAAATCTAAGTGGAAACCTGTGATTAGACCTGAACACTCACAGATTTCCTCCAACCAATCTGACTGAGCTTGAGTGAAAATGGCGCCACCTAGCGTCATAAATATGAACAACTTTGTGTTGTTTCCATCACATCCAGATTAAATGCAGCAAAGTTTGTTTTTGTAGCCAAAGATGTGAAAAAGTTTGAGACAGATAAACGTCGTTGGGGTCAGAGGAACAGGAAGTAGTTCATGATTCTTAGCCGAACTGGGTGGACTCCATCAAACCCATCAGCTGGAAACCAGTTCAGCTGAAACTGACCCACATTTCTGATGTTTCTGATGGAAAACGTGGCGGTGGCGTTGAAGGCGGCCATCTTACCGGTGGCAGGTCTGCAGCGCCTGCTTGATGGTCTCCATGGCCGTCTGGATGTCCTTCTGGTCAAAGGTCATGGTGGCCTGCATGACCAGGATGCTGCTGTAGCCCAGAGCGTGGTACATGCTGTGCTTCCACCTGAACACACAACGGGTCGGTTAGGACCGCAGATCCAGCACACTGCGACCCAAAGCAGGACCGGAGCCGGTTCAGGGACAGAACCACAACCACCTCTGATGGAGGGGAGGAACCAACCAGTAAGGAACTGGTTTGATTCCAACCAGGAGAGGAAAGAAAGGAGATGACAGGACACAAGGAGGGATGGAAGGAAGGAAGGACTGAAGGAAGAAATAGCAAAAAGGAAAGAAGGAAAGGATGGAGAAAAGGAGGAATGTGCAAGGAAGCAAAGAAGGAAAAAACAAGGATAGACAACAAAGAACAGAATGAAGGAAAATGCAATTTAGGAAGGTCACAAGGAAAGGAAATAAATAAGAGAATAAATGATTGAGGGACTGAAAAAGATGAAAAATAAGGAATCAAACAACAAGGAAGAACTAAATGACTGAAGAAAGTCAGTAGGATGTTGAATAGTTGAATTATCTATAATTATGGAAGGTGGGTGTCTAGTTAAATCCTGAAAACCTCCGATGTGAGCGAATTAAAACAATTCAGCCAAGAATTCCTTCAAAATAAAAGACTAATTGTTGGTAGTCAGCTGGAAACTAGTAATTAGATTTAGAGGACATTTATTTTCACCCAGAAATCCCACCTAGAAAAACATTCAGTTTCCACTCCGGTTATTTTTCTGACATGAGTTTGATGATCTGAAAGGTTGGAACAGATTCTCACCACGGCTTCAGCAGATCCAGAGCCTGAGAGAACCTGTTGTTGAGGACCAGGTTGAGAGCGCACTGGGTCTCCTGGATGGCAGTGTGCAGGTCCATCTGACAAGCCCTGCACACACACACACACACACACACACACACACACACACACACACACACACACACACACACACACACACACACACACACACACACACACACACACACACACACCACACACACACACACACACACACACACACACAGATAAAGCCAACAGCACAAGTCGAGTGTTAGATCAAATGACCAATAAACACTGAAAGTGACAAAACGAGAAACTGGAGCCTGACAGGAAGTGAAAACAACAGCAGAGAAACATTTTCAGTCCTCATAACGTCGTGTTTTTGTGTGAACTTACGAAGGAATCCGATCGAAGGCATCCTCAAAGCAGTCCTGAAACAGAAACACAGAGGTGAGCTAACTGCTCTGCTTCATTATAAATCCTCACAAACGGGTCAAACACTTTAGATACTGGATCATCACGGGTCGACCCAAACCCTCTGCTGCAACATATTGTAGTGAAATGTTGACACACAGATACATTTTGATAACTTTTCATTGTTCCTGCTGTGGAAATGACCAAAAATAATGATTTCATCCAAAATGGCCGCCTACATTTTAGGACTTAACTTCTAGAGAGTATTTTCTTGATCAGCAGGGATCTACCTACGTACCAAATTTCAGATCCTACGATGTGCAGCCTGGCCTGTCTCACTGTAGGGGGCGCTGTAGACGGCATTGAAATCCAGACCTCTGGATGACCACTGTACTAGCATTAGAATAGTCAGTCTATAGCTTTCTAATGTTGAGTCGTCAGTAAAATCTTTGCAGCATTTTGTAACAGTTTGGGTGTGATGGCAGGATGTCGGCCTTGTGCAGAAAACAAACCGCTAAAGGATCTGCTGAAGTGCTAATTTAGCAAAGCTCAGAAAACACAAAGTCCTCAGAAAACCAGAGTCTCACGTTTCAAATCTTAGTTTTCACTCAGAGAGAGGAAGCCGTTTCACAGAAAAACTCCCTTTTGCTCCAAACTAATCTGCATTTCATTCTCAAATACTAAACCATCTTGGCCACCTCCACCTGCATGAATTTACCCTGAGCATACTTATGTGGCTTCAACACGAGTAAACCTCACTGTGTTTCTTCAGACCCTCAGTAACAAGCTAATAATAGCTGTCCAGCAGCTCCTTACATAACCTCATCCAGCTGCAGCCACAGCGCCTCACAGAGAGGAATCAGCCTGCAGGCTGCAGCCGCGCAGATCAGCCGCGCTGCACAGCAGACAGCCGCGCATCCCAGGAAAACACTCAATATGAATCTGTTCACTAAGCAGGTCAAACCGCAGGGAGCCGTGGGAATGATGCAAGCAGCTATAGACGCCTCTGAACCGGAGCTCAGACGAGATTAAACACATCATTCAGAAACACAACAACTGCAAAGAAACAGAAAACGTTTAACAAAGACTGATGTCCTTCAAAAAGGTACAAAAATGGAAATAAACATGAAACTTACATTTTGATAAAAGAAAAAACAACCTGCCCAAAGACAACCTGGAAATCAATCTGTTAAAGCTCTATAGATTAAAGATTAAATTATCTCTACAAACGTATTTACAAAACACAGAAAAAGAAACATATCTGCTAATTGACCCAATGAACAGACTGAAGGAGTCAACATGCTAGCAAACCGCCAGGCTAGCTGTAGCATTGGAGCTAACTTTAGCTTCCATGCTAGCTGGAGTAAGTGAGAGTTAGCCAACATGCTAGCTACAGAAAACAGCTTTAGAAATAGAAAACAAAGTAAAGCAGAAATGTTTCTAAATAAACTAAATGAAAGCAGAAATTATGTTTTCTGTTTTATCCTGGTCATAAAATATGGTAGATAAAATATGTTGGCTTCACAAAACAAATTAAAACAGACAAAAAATATATCAAATATGTTTTATATGCTCAGTTACAAAGAATATGGATTTTAAATGTGATTTAGCAAGAAACAATTAGCTTTATTTTGTTAAACTGAAGTACAGCAAACACACACACACACACACACACACACACACACACACACACACACACACACACACACACACACACACACACACACACACACACACACACACACCCCACACACACACACACACACACACACACACACACACACTCCTCAGGAAACATTGATAATAATTCAGTGTGAATCCAAACAGTCACTTTCAGCCCCCGGTTTCATCACTTCCTGTCAGTTGGAGCAGACTCTGCTCCTCACAGCAGCACCAGGAGCTCCTGCTGTGCGTCTGCAAACAGGCAACTGTTGTTGAATCTGCAGGCCAGCATGTTACAACACAGCACACGCCTCACACACCGAAGGCCGATGACCTACAGCAGAAGGACAGGAAGGAGACGGAGACGGGATGACAGGACGGCTGAAGCTCTGATTCAGGGTTGGTACGGCGAGATTAGCAAGTAGAGCTAGTGAACTAGATTAGCAAGTAGAGCTAGTGAACTAGATTAGCAAGTAGAGCTAGTGAACTAGATTAGCAAGTAGAGCTAGTGAACTAGATTAGCAAGTAGAGCTAGTGAACTAGATATCCCAGCAGGACAGGCAGGTAGAAATCCAAGCAGCCAGTCAACAGATCAGAGAGTCGGGAACAAGGCAGGAAGCAGCCAATGGGAGAGTGGCAAGGTCAGTGAGTGGCAAGGTCAGTGAGTGGCAAGGTCAGTGAGTGGCAAGGTCAGTGAGTGGCAAGGTCAGTGAGTGGCAAGGTCAGTGAGTGGCAAGGTCAACGGGTCGGCAGCATCAGTTCCTCTGAACACCAGCATCTTGCCTGATGGTTTCAACAAACTTCTAATCATAGTAATAGTTTAGTACTTTGACTATACAGAACCGGTAAATTCACATATCTGAATTCTTTCATCTTCATATATGAGCTTCAAAATGGCTGCCATCTCTCTTAAAGCGTCTAAACATCAACTGGATTATTAACTATGAACCAAGTAAGCAGATGATAAATATTAGTTAATTTCTAAGACCAGAGAAAATGAATAAAACCAGGAGAGTTCAGAGACAGAAAGCTTCTCCAGTAACGGCTGCACCTTTCATTAATTAGTCAGGACCTTCATGCCGGGTCCGATTACCGGCCACATGCTCTATAAACCATGAACTGCTCTGGATCCACCAGGAGGACCAGAAACAAAGGCTTCAAAAGCCCAGAAGAACCAGACAAAGTTTTCATTCTTGCCAAAAGAGCAATAAACTGTTTTGCACATGGTGAGAAATCGTCGCCTTGTGTTGGGATTTTATTGACCCGTTTGAAGGATCGAACCCTTTGACTCATGCTGAAAACTCGTCCAACTCTGCAGCAAACATATTTAGTCTTTTCTTCACAGAAAACAAGTCAAACTTCACTCAACACAACAAGAATCGAACACCCAGAGGAAATGAAAGGGAGTTCTGCTAAAGAAACCAAAGTTCATCACTGAAAGCTCCGTCTGGTGAACAGAAGCTACAGTTTCTCTCACTTGTTAATAAGATAAAACCCCTGATGGTGACGTCATGCATGGACGTTTTGTGCCTCTGGTAAGGCAAAGACATGAACTTATTCAGAAAACCTGTTTAAAATTTCTGTTTATAGTCAAGAAAAACAACAAATAAAAACAAATAACCCGACAGTAAAAACCTTCCAGGAAAATTGAGGAAGATATTTCTGAATTTTGTCTGCGAAGCGTCAAAATCCTCATTATATTTCTGTCATGTCTTTACATTTATAAATCAGTTGTGTAGTCACAGTGGCGTCCAGCCTGGGGGTCAAAGGTCAAGCCACTGCACCCTTGCATGAGTCATCAGCAGCGTTTTGTTTTAATTGGTCTCCTTGTGTTTTTATGGTGTTTCTGCGCAGCGACAACCTTTATCCCAGTTCCCATAAACTCAGTTAGTCTCACATTCCTCAGAGTTTAACCAGCATCAGCTGAGATCCTCCGAAACGCGACGGCCATGAATGAAGCTTTCAGGGGTCAGATTAGAGCCGACCCCAAGAAAACAAACCCTTCTGCTTCTGGTTCCTGCTGAGAGGCTTTTTCTTCTCATCCATTTCACTGGCAAATAAAATAAACTTCATTCTAACAAAAAGAATCAGAGTCTGAGAAATATCAGCAGATAATCCAAGACTAACCAAACCATGAAACCTGCAGCGAAGAAAGACTTTCTGCAGAACTAGAGCCACGAAACGAATCTAAAGATTTACAGTTTGTTGAAAATCGTTTCCAAATGGAACAAAATAAAGTGAAACTGTTCAGATGCAGGGATGCATCTCTGTGGCCTCATGGAGGATTTTATGTTTCCACTTTGTTTCATATTTAAAACCAGATTTTATCATTTCAGCTTAACAGTATAAGTGGAATTCAAATGTTGCCTCATTGCTTGATATTTATTCTGATTTTAACATGAACAACACACACACACACACACACACACATACACACACACACACACACACACACACACACACACACACACACACACACACACACACACATACACACACACACACACACACACACACACACACACACACACACACACACACACACACACACACACACACACACACACACACACACACACACACACACACAGGACCTGTCACTATCTCTGAAAGCTGATTACACGCTGCTGATGAATCAGATTAATAATCTGTGAACTGCTCACCTGAGCCGGATTAATTTCAGCAGCTCTCAGTGGAAACAGGAATAAATGCAACAGAAGAAGAAGACGGAGAAATGAAGCACAGAAACCGTCCTGATGCAGCCGAGGAGCCGATACTGCGCCTCATATCAGCTGCAATAAAAGCCAAAGTGGTCTGAAGACGGGAGGCCGGATGCTCCGAACGCCAACGGCGACTTCCTGCCAGCCTGCAGCGCTTACGACTTATGATGCACCAATATGAAAACCTGGGCAGATAGAAACACGTTTCCTCTACAAATACAAACAAATCTTTCTGCTGGTGATTCTGGTGCTTCCATTAAATAGAAATTACAAGTTCCTTCACTTAATAAATCTTCAGAAACGTCACAAATGCAAACAGTTTCACAGAGGAGCAGAAAAGCCAAACATGAAACTGCAGTCAGAGCAGAGAAACGTCCGTCTGCTCGGATTCACTCAGAAACAAAAATCATCTGAAATATGAATGAAAAACTATTAGGTGAAAAATCTACTGACATTAAATATTTACAATCACATCATCAGACAGACTGAAGGATAAAGTTAAGTGGAAATTTTGGTATTTTAATAATTCATATCAGCAAAATAAACTTTTTCCACATCAGTTTCTTTCTTTCAATAAAAAACTGATAGAATAGAATAGCATTTATTGATGAAACTTTAACAGCAGCTGTTTGTCTGTCTGCTGGATTTTTGGTTCAAATATGTTTGTTTTTTATATCCAGTAAGAGAAGAAATAGAATAACATGAATCAAGTAAAAATCTAAAGTACAGCATTGTGTTATAACAAGACATTTTTCCATGATTTTAGTGAATTACTTTTTAAAAATCCATATTAAGGAGTTATTGACCTACAGCAACATCTTACATCTTGATGAGAAATGAATTATATGTCAGTTTTGTCTTATTTTAGTGACATTTGCTCCATAAACTGGACAGAAATACTTGGAGAGATTTTGTGTTTTTGCATTCATGTGATTTTGTGAAGAACTTTTTATTGATTCTTTAATCTTGTTGCTTTGTTTTCTTTTCTCTTGTGGTTATTTTGAGTTGAAGTTGTTTTTTTTTTGTGGGTTTTTGTTAGCTATATTTGAGTTTTATGAATGAAAGCTGATTGCATGTCTGCTGCTCTGTGGTCAGGAACTGCTGTCTGAATCGGGTCGATTCTCCCGTTTTAGCGCCGCGGCTGCAACTGAAGCACGACTCCACATTAAAACCTGAGAGACTCTGCAACAGAAAAACATTTCAGGTTTTCTGTTGCACAGAATCACAAAGAGCTCAGCAGTTGCTTGAGGTTGGCAATGAAATAGTAAGAAGTTCAAGAGTAAGTGAAGAAACTTGACTGACGAAGTGGAAGGAAGTGAATCAGATAGAAAAAATAGTTTTCCTTTCAATTTGAGTTAATGGATCAAATTTAATAGAACTCCGGATTATTTTGACTTTAAACTTTCATCATGTTTCTTCTGAATGGATGCATTATTAGCATTCATGCAGCCATCTTGTAAGAGATTGATGACAGATTTCTTCAAACCTTCAGGATAAATCATTAAAATAACAGCAGAAACAACCAAAACGTGACTCAGCAGCAACATTTTCAATGAATTATTATCTAATAAAACTTTTACTGTGAAACATTAACAAGTGGAGGGAATTCAACCTGGAGTAATGTCCCATATTTACCACTAGAGGGCACTACATCCTCTAGTGGATGTAGTGCAATGCACCTTTAATCCAAACTTAATGTAAATCAGGTTAAATTTGATGAAATGTCAAGTGAGAATCTGTCATTAATTTAGAGTTTGTACAGTGTGTGAAACTATTTCAGTGTTTTACAGTGTCTAGAAGGATTTCAGTGTTTTACAGTGTCTAGAAGGATTTCAGTGTTTTACAGTGTCTAGAAGGATTTCAGTGTTTTACAGTGTGCAGAAGGATTTCAGTGATGTTTCTATGTGACTGTAAAGGAAAAGGTTTTTCCAACCAGTCTGACCAGGTTTACTCAACATATTTGAAGCAGCTTGTTTTCTTAATCAGCCTCGTTTATTAAATCATTATTTTATTGAATATTTGATGGGAACCTGCAGAACAAAGAGCCGCTATAGTGAAGGTTCTGTCAGGAACAGGATGCGGCATCCCGGTTCTGGAGGGTTTGGGTCCATTTAAAGGGCAGAACCAGCCGGGATGAAACCGGAGCCTCCGGAGGGAAGGACCGGATGAAACCCGATAGCAGCGGCGGGACCTCACCTCCTCCTCGGCGGCCGCCCCGTTGCCGACGTGGGCCATGTCTGCTGTCCGCGTCCCGGAGCTGCTGCGGCTGCTGCGGCTTCAGGCGCGTCTGGCCGGCATGTCGCTGCGGGTCCTGCCGTCTCTAGCAGAACCCGTCCTCTAGCAGAACCCGTCCTCTAGCAGAACCCGTCCTCTAGCAGAACCCGTCCTCTAGCAGAACCCGTCCTCTAGCAGAACCCGTCCTCTGCCCCGGTGAGTCCGGCAGGTCCGGAGTCAGGAGATCCGGTTCGTCCTTGCGCCTGTCGGACGCGGAGGTTCGGAATCTAAGGAGGATTTCTTCCGTGAAGTGGAAAACAGACACGCCCCCAAAGAGAGAGGGAGAGAGAGAGAGATGAAGAGAGAGAGAGTGAAGGGATGAATCTCCATCATTTTTGCATAAAACACTGAATATCAATCTGCTGCAAATCCAAACTAATATATGCAGGTATAATAATAATAATGATAATAATAATAATAATGATAATAATAATAATAATGATAATAATAATAATAATGATAATAATGATAATGATGATGATAACTGTATTCAATATTAAGCTAAATGATTTTCAATGATTTATGGAGAACCAAAACTTACATAATTAAAACAGAAATTAAAACATTTTATTTTTCATAAAACACATTTTCTTTTTCCTTTTCCTCATACATGCATTTTTGACAAGAAGTGTCTGAATATTTAGTTTTTCCTTTTCTTATCAATGCATGTTCCTCATGAATGAATGAATGAATGAATGAATGAATGAATGAATGAATGAGAGGCTTCAGCTTCTCTGATTGGTCGGTTTGGATCTCTGGTTCAGCCGTTCATCAGGGAGCGGAAAGTTTTATATCCTGATTTATTATTTGACATGTTGAGGCAGAACGTCTGGACCTTCAGAACCGGATGGTTCTGAAGGTCCAGACCAGATGGATACATGAAACATCTTCAACACCTTCATCTCATCCTGATCCCTGCAGGATCATTTTATTCTCTCAGTCTGTGGTTCTGGTCCTGAAATGTGGGCCTGCATCCCGTCCTCCCCTCAGAACCATGCGGTCCCAGGAATGATCCGGTCCCAGGAATGATCCGGTCCCAGGAATGATCCGGTCCCAGGAATGATCCGGTCCCAGGAATGATCCGGCTCCAGGAATGATCCGGTCCCAGGAATGATCCGGATCCAGGAATGATCCGGTCCCAGGAATGATCCGGTCCCAGTCTCTTGGTTCCGTCAACATGGTGATGATCTGCAGCTCTGCATCCTGAGCAGGAGACAAAGTTCAGTTTGTTCCTGATTTCAACTTAAATTAAATCCAAAACAAACATTAATTAAGACTTGTTGACTTATATTTGCATAAATTAATAATTAATTATTATAATTATTAATTATTATAATTATTAATTATAATTATGTTAATTAAACATATTTCAGATAACTTTATTTCAGTCAGCAGTTTATGAACTTATTGAAACATCAGGAGAGTTTGAATAAATTCAATCATTATTTCATCTTATTATTTGGCACTATTGTCTCTCCATAAGGGTCATAGTTCAGCATCCAGTCAGTAACTGGGAAGCCTCTCACCAGGCACCGTTTGGTGCTTTTGGACCGGACGGAACCGGACCGGACCGGGTTCTGTCGGGTCTTTCTGCTCGTGTCTCTTTATTATGAATTTTATTCAATCAACCCAAACCATGAACATCCGAACCCGACCACCAGAACCCAAACGGTTCTAGTTTCTCCCGTCTCTTTCACAGACGCGTCCGCGACGTCACACGGACGTGACGTCGAGCGCACGAGGCCAACGTCACATCCGCAGGAGCGAAATGCGACTTCCTGGTTTCCGTTGGGCTCAACATGGCGGCCAGCAGGGGCCGGGTTCGGTTCCAGAGGCAGATGAAGCGGTACCACGAACACTGCTGCGTCCCGCAGTGCTCCGCCTCCTCCAAGTACAACGGCCTGCTGAGTTTCCACGGGTTTCCACGAGACCCCGCCCTCAGGCGGCGGTGGCTGCAGAACATCCGGCGGGAGGAGATGAAGCTGACCCAACACAGCAAGGTGTGCAGCCTCCACTTCAGCCCGGACCAGCTGCTGCGGCCCAGAGCCGCCGGCGGCAGGCGGGCGGTGAGCAGAGGAGCCGTCCCGGTGCTGTTTCCCTGGAGCCCTCCACGGAACCGGGCTGTCGGAACCGGACAGGAGGCCGGACCCGCCCGGAGGACCCAACCTCCCGGATCACGATTACTGCTCTGTCCCGGAACCAGCAGACCGGAACCTGGCTGTGCATGAAAACCAGAAACTAACTGAAGAAATAAAGAAACAAGCGGAAGAACCGGAAGCCCCATCCAGGTTCGGGCTGCAGAGGTTCACAGGATCCGATGACGATATCCGGTTCTACACCAGGTGAGATGAGCATCTTTAGTTCCTCACTGCAACTTCAGCCCAACATGCAGTGACGTGACGCTGGTTATGATGCTGCATAATGTGAGTATTTAGCATCATTAGCTGCAGTAAAGCTCTTCACTCTGATCTGTTGCGGTTTTTCTCCTCACTGCGTCATCAAGCGTTTCCTGTTTCTGCTCTGGACCTGCAGGTTCGCCACTTATCGTCTCTTCCTGATGTTCTGGAGGATCATTGAACCGTCGGTCCATCGGATCCGAACATCAGGAACCAGAAGCAGCGAAGCAGCAGCAGCTGGATCCACACACGGTTCGGATCCGCAGCACACACACACACACACACACACACACACCGGATACACACACACACACGCACACACACACACACACACCGGATACACACACACACTGCTCACACACATGAACACACACACACACACACTGTTTCAGTTTTATATTTCTGGTAATTTAGTTAAGTGATGATTTATTAAATTGAGATGTCAATGCGGTGTGTGTGTGTGTGTGTGTGTGTGTGTGTGTGTGTGTGTGTGTGTGTGTGTGTGTGTGTGTGTTGTGCTTCTTCCTGCTCCGTTCCAAACAGAAATGATGCTACGATGATTATTTTCTTCATGTTTTCTGCTGGTTTCTTTGTTTATAAATAAATAATTAGCTAACTAAATGTGTGTATTTGCATATTTTCAGTTTGTCTGCTGTTGCCTCTTCTTCTTCCAGAGGGATTCCTTGCAGCCCATCGACGAGCTGCTCCTGTTCCAGATGCACCTGGCTGCAGGTCTGAAGGAGCGAGACCTAGCAAACCGGTTCCAGATCCACCCGTCCACCACAAGCCTCATTATTTGTTGGTGGGCCGATTATTTGTACTTAGTTCTGGGTTCTCTGTGTGTCTGGATGGATGCAGACGACATCCGGGCTCAGCTCCCAGAGGACTTCAGAGATTTTGCAGATACTCAGCTGATAGTTGGAAGCTCTGAGCTCAGATGTCAAACTCCTGCGTCCGCTGTCCTCCAGACTGAGCTTCAGTCTCACTGCGTAATGAGGGGTCTGACGGGAATGGCCCCCCACGGTGCGGTGACCTTTGTGTCTTCGCTCTATGAGGGGTCAGTAAGCGACACGGAGCTGTTGGTCAGGTCGGGCCTGGCCGATCGTCTGGCGGAGGACCGGGCCGTGATGGTGGGGGAAGGATTCCTGATCTCTGGCTCTGTGAAGTGTAAAGTCTACTGTCCACCTTTTCTCAGCACTGAACCACAGACGGCGTCTCAAAACGCCCGCCTGCTCGTTCACATTGAGCGGGTAACCCAAAGAGTTACAGAAAACAACTGTTTGATTCTGTCATCCCTTTGTCTCTGGTCGGAAACATTAATAAACTTTTTACAGTGGCCTGCCTGCTGGTCAACTACCAGAACAAAGCGCTCTAAATGAAGAGCGTGTGGTGGAAGAGCAGAGCCTTTCGCTCCTCCTGGTTCAGGAGAAACACGGACAGCCTGCAGGACGGAGACCCAGTGATCACAAACATGTTAGAAATCTGAATTAAAGTGAGTTTTTTCTTTCCTGGTTGAATTTCTTTCTCAGATTTGATGGAATTAGTTATCGCAGAAGCATATGTTTCCTATGTTTGTTGTCACATTTCATGACAAAACGCATGTTAATAAACTTGTTTTCATAAAACCTTGATAACAAAACTAAATTACAGGTCGGTGCAGATAACAGCTCAACGTTACGGAGAGACGATGATGTCACATGTTATTTTGCACAACTTTGACCTTAAAACACAAGTAAATGAATCAAAATGATCAAATTTCACCCAAACTTTTTGTAATAAATACTTTGATTGGTTTATGTATTTAACTTTTGTAGCTAAATACATAAATAACCGACAGCCTCAAATGAACAAAAGACCAAATACAGACGGATTAAAACATGAATCACAACTTTAATCACCTTCAGCCGAAGAAGTTTACAGGATTATTATAAAAAATAAAAATGCTGATTAATAATCATCATTGCACACTTTAATATTTTAGTGATTAGAAATCAAAATGCTGCTCTTTATGTCGCCGCCACACATCAGATGTCCAACATCCAAACCAGACAAAAAACACCAACAATCCATTCAAATAAAAACTACTTTAACCCTTAAGCAGAAAAATAATCTTTTATTTGACCTCAAATGGATTTTATTTTGTCTAAGCTGAGAAAAAAAAAAACACCAGTTAAAGCTGGAATGTAATACCAGTTGTAGCCACAAGAGGGGGACGTGCTCCAGTTTTATAATAGTAAGAGTTAAAACTGCTTTAACTTTCTGAATTCAAAATTCAACTTGATGTTAATCTTATAGACGTTAAAATCTAACATGAACCTACAAACATGTTGGAGTTTCTGTAGATTTGAGCTTCAGAGGAAGGAAAACGCTCAGAAACCAAATTCCTGGTCCTGACTGAAACGTTCCGGCTCTTTGTGAAGCACTGCAGCCTCATTCTGCTCCGTTTCCCTCTGTGCATTATGGGATGTTTCACATCTAAAAGGTGTTGAGCTCAGACTGCGTGAGAATGAAAAAGACCAACTATAAACCCGCTTCCCTCCACCAGATCCAATTAAAACAGAGCATCTGAGCAGTAGAACCGCCAAGTGTCAGAGGTTTCCTCATAACATCCCGGGTTCTGGATCAGAACCGGCCCACAGACGGGGACCTTCATGGAGTTTGAGGTCCTTCAGTCCCACCTGAAAATACAACAGGACCAAAGTTTGAACCTGGACCCCAAACTGCTGCAGTTCAACTGAACATGAGCTTTACAAGACGTTGGAAAGTGTTTCCCCTCACAGCTTTAATAACTCAAACATGATGTGCAAAACTAAGGAAATCTTCCTTTAAACCAACATTTTGTCACAAACCCTGTAAAAAGTTCAATCTTGGTTCTCTTCCCATCCATCAGGAGCTTTTTTATTTCTGTCTCTTGATGTGACGACTATCAGCGTTTTAGTTTTTCATTTTCTGCAACCGTGTCAGAAAACCCACCGACAAGTTACAACCCCTAGTGGAGAGATGAAGCTACTGACCCCATCACATGTTCTAGGTGTGAATGACATCATGTCAGAATGATTTGCAGTCTTACCTAAGCAGTCCAGGCCATGCTGATGAAGGCAGCAGCTCCAGACCGGGACCGGACAGATCTGCGAGTCCGAGCTCCATCACACGTCTACAAGCGAAGGACAGAAACGTCAACGACTGTCAAAGCTGGGAGCTCAACTTTGTGTGAGCATCAAACATCCTGAGGTGAGTGAGATTCAGAGAGCTGCACCTTGACGCAGGTGTTCTCCAGTTTGGTGCAGAGCTGCAGCTTGCAGTGCAGGTAGACCTCAGCAGAGCTCCCAGTGAACTGGAACATGTTGAAGGAGAAGGAGTTGGAGGTTCCCCCTCCGTTCCCGTCCACCCTCACCGTCTGGTCCTCAGAGTTTGGACAACTGCTCACAAGCGTCAAATCAAAGATCGGTGGTCGGATCAGAGAGGTCAGAAAGGCTGAAGGTCGGCGGCGCTCTCACCCGTTCTTGATCAGGTAATATTTACGGGCGGCGGCGAGCGATTCCTGGTCTGTCGCCCAGCAGGAGTCCGTCACCAGGGCGACCAGGTTTTCGTCCAGGCCGTCGGCGTCCAGCTCCACCCAGATCCTCTGGTTCAGGTGAACGTCGGTGTTTGAGGCCACAGCTTGAGTCCGGCCGGCGTCGGTGTAGGCCTTCATGGTCAGAGAGTAATTCCAAGGTCCGGATGAGATGATCTGAACCACAGAGCTGCAGACGACACACAGCGGGAAGAGTCTGCTCTTACTGCTGACTGCGCAGATATTTGCACTTCCTGTCTGCATCCAGCAGCTTTTCTCCGCCGTATGAAGCCACTGACTGGAGACGCCAGCTGTGGGCGTCTGCTTGGTGTTTCTGTTTCGGTTTTTAGGTCTTTCTATCAGGTTTGTTATGTGTTGGTTTTCTGCACCTGTTCTGCCTCCCATTATTTCCCCTCTGCTTAGGGGTCAGGGTTCACAAGCCTCATCCAATCGCTGCCCTCATCCACAGACATGATGCTGCTATGATGACGGGTTCATGTTGCAGGGGAACCGAACTGCATTGAGCTCAGCTCTCCGCTCCAGACACAGGGATGAAGGAACGGCCCAAGTTACCGGAGGCTGGAAGCTTCCATCTCTGTCTATGCTGCATAGATCTATGATAGGACACATCATATCTATCCTATCATAGATCTATGATAGGACACATCATATCTGTCCTATCATAGATCTATGATAGGACACATCATATCTATCCTATCATAGATCTATGATAGGACACATCATATCTATCCTATCATAGATCTATGATAGGACACATCATATCTGTCCTATCATAGATCTATGATAGGACACATCATATCTATCCTATCATAGATCTATGATAGGACACATCATATCTATCCTATCATAGATCTATGATAGGACACATCATATCTGTCCTATCATAGATCTATGATAGGACACATCATATCTATCCTATCATAGATCTATGATAGGATAGCTTCGCTGCATCTAGAAGTTCATAAAGTGTTTAAGCTTTTGACAAAATCTGGAAAATCACATTGACCTCAATCAGAAAGAAAAGGATTGGACCCTGTAATGTTTCACTGTTTTGCCTGTTTCATCTGATTCTGTGTGAAACTAAAAGCACCAGTTCACACCCACCTGTCTTTGACCCTGAACGCCACCGTCTTGATGTCCGGCTGGGTCTGGACGCAGGAAAACTCAATGTAGACCTGGTCTTGGCGAGTGATTCCTCCAGAGGAGACGTTCTGAGTCATGACGGCGTTCTTGTAGAGGGTTTGGCTGTTGTTGGTCTGCAAACAGAGACATTGACCTGTGACAGTTGCCTCCACATCAAGATCCCGAAGCGGCGCGGGAACCCACCGTGACCTCAGTCCCACAGAGGTCGGTGTTGTTGTAGCTGAAGGTCACCATGTGGGTCTGCTGGTCCATCCGACCTCTGCAGGTCGCTTCCTTGAGCTGTAAGACGGAATAGTCGATGCCTTTGTCCTCCAGGAGACACCCGACCAGAGAGAGCGAAGCAGAGCTCTGTCTGCAGACCGGCGGATCACCTGCAGGTCACAGCGCTGGTGAGGAGAGGCAGTCAGAGTTTCCTCCACATTCTGTTCTCAGGTCACAGCCGTCCTACCCAAAGAGTTCGTCTCTCTGTACTTGGAGGCAAAAATGGCCCGACAGAAGCAGCGAGTTTCTCCTCCGGCCG